GAACTCATACGGAAGTGGCTTCAGATTCTCAGTGCTGTGCCTTAACCCGCTGCGCCACCAGGGAGGGCCGTAACTAATTTATTTTTAAAAGAAACTTTATATCACAACCATATCTCCAAATTCAGCAGCACTTATTGCAACTAGAAAGTAACTGTGAAAATAAATATAAGGACATGAAACACTGACACTAAATTGTGGCTAGATATGACAGCTCACCTGAGGCCTGATCTCTTGAAGTTAAGAAAGCCATATTAGCAACTGTTAAGCAGAACCAAACAAGTAGTTTTGTTTTTCTTACTTAAAGATTTACTTATTTATGCATACAAGAACTGGGGTACAGGCCAGAGGTGGGGTGGGGAGAGGATTCACCAGAGATAGAATGAGGAACAGAACAGGCAATTTTACTGCAATACACTGCTGAGGGGAGCAGCGGGCGAGACAGGAGAGGTCTGCTGTGCCATGTGGGTCACCTCCCTGGCTGGGGATCGAACTCGGGCTGCAATGGCTGCAGATAACATCATAGTGCTGTGCTTTAGCCCCTTGTGACACCAGGGAGGGTATTTTTCTAGACAGAAAAATGGAGAGAGTTTAAAGGGAAATAATTCTCACGTATCAGTCAGCATAAGTTAGGTTGTGCTTGAGTGCCTCCTAAAATGGCCTGTCTTGCTAGGTTTAGTCTGTAGAATCTAACCCCACCCAGATCATTTGAGTCTGAGTCCACTTGTTACCATCCCCAACCCCGTGCACATTAATGCTGGAGAAGCTCTGCTTACACAAGCTCCCTCTATAGCAAGCAGTTTCCAAAGCAGTAGAGCAGAATTTCCCTATAAATCTTGTAAGACTGATTTCAGTATTATGGTGAATTAAATATTTTTTAAAATCCCTCTCTAAAAGTCCACCAGAACTGTTATGGTTCACTATCCAATTCTATAAAGAGATGCTTGCTCTCCCAGCTCGCACAGTACACAAAATTGAAAATGTACATGAAACATTTCTGGCTAAGGGCACCAACAAAC